TATAATATAATATAATATAATATAATATAATTATAATATAATATAATATAATATAATATAATATAATATAATATAATATAATATAATATAATATAATATAATATAATATAATATAATTATAATATAATATAATATAATATAATATAATATAATATAATATAATATAATATAATATAATATAATATAATATAATAATAATATATAACACAAATATATGGTCCCTTATAAATATAATAATAATACCAAAACATACCATCGAAGTTGTATTTATTGTTGTTTGCAATCTAAAAAATTTGTGAAGACCCTCCATTTCCGCTTCACGTAATTTGGAGGAATCCATTTTTACAACAAATTTGACAGTAGTATCAGTGTGATATTCCTTGAAGTCTCTAAAATAATTGCAATTTGCCAAAAGTAGAGCTAAAAATATCGAACGAATCATAAAAAATTAAGTATCCAGAAACATTTGATAAAATTAAAATTGGTACAACACACTGTATAAGAGCCGGTTGTTTCTCGTTTCCCTCAAGCATAGGTTCTAAAACACTCTCTTTGTAATTCTGAGTCCATGTTCGAATAGGCAATTCAGTAATCTCCACGGTATTATCGCTAAGTATGGCTATTTCACCACTGCATACAAAACGTTGTTCGTCTAGTTGTTCAATTGAACCGCGAAAATTTTTGAACCACGGTATCTTAAAAAGATAAATTAAAAAATATATAATTGCAAGTAGATTAAAAAAAAATTGTAAACCAGTGGTTTAGGTTCTCCACCACGAATCATTTGTCTAATATTTTCAGCAATTTCACGAGGATTATAATTAGGAATTTTCGTAGACCACGCTGTGCCAATACCTTCAGCGCCATTGACCAGAACTGTTGGTATTACTGGACAATACCTATAGAATATAATAATTATAAATATAATTATAAATAATATATAAAAAATTAAGAAATAAAAAAAACATATTCGACGTTTTATTATACTCTCATTCAAAAAGTTCAAAAGAAATAAATATTGGAATTAAACAATTCTTTTTCTTCTAAAAGTTCTCACCATTACTGGTAAGGCTGGCTCCGCTAGCTACAGGAGAAGAAGTATCCAAGCTATTCGATCCAGCAGTAATATAATCCATTCCTTTTTCCATCATCTAAGTCTATATATGGTCCCTTATAAATCATTCAAAATCTTTCCTGACTACAAGTGTTGATTGGCTCATCTCGCTTTTGATGCCAATCATCACAGGATTCGGCAACTAGCGACTTATGCGCCAACTCCTACGGTAAACGACGGAGAACGTGTCCTAACCAGCGAAGATAATGCTCTGTGATATTATTAATACAGCTGGTATTTAAATGAAGATGATATAATCATGTGCGATGTTATCCGTTCTAAAATCCACGAAATGTACTTTCGACTTAGTTGATTAAAGGTTCTGATTAAAGGTTCTGAAGGTTTTGATTAAATGTTGAGAGCTTCTTAATATCTTCCGTAGGCCATGTTTCGCAGCCATACAAGATCGAGCGAACTGGTATATGGACGAGGATTTTCATCTTTATGATAATTTTACGAAAATTCCATAAAGATTTCGTCGATCGGAATTTCTAGTTATCATTATCCGGGTTGCAATTCCATCCTTTGCTGGCCATTTGTGACTAGAGTCGATCCAAGATATTTAAAGTCGCGCACTTCTTTAATCGGTAATGAGTTGATTAAAATATTATATGATTTATATGATATGATATTAAATATATAAAATATTTTATCAGCTTTTTATATATAAGACGAAAACACTTTCATTTTATATGCCTGATTCTGCAATTGTTGACACCTGGTTTGCATTTTAATATAACTGTCAGTAAAAAGAACTACATCATTCAAGGTCTGTGATGCTTTGCTCTGATTTGCACACCACTTGAGTGCCAATAAGGAATGGTCTATTGCATAGCTGAATGTGGAAAAACGCTTAATGGACATAAGTTTTTATTTCGAAAGTCAATCAGTTCCTCCTCATATACACAAACCTGTGCCTGATAAAATGCCTTTATGAGCCGGATGATCGTCTCTAGGACACCGTCACATTCCATCACTTTCTAAAGCACTGCTTTATCGAAGATAGCAAAACCGATAAAGCAAATGACGGTGGTTTGCTGGTAATTGAAGCGATGTTTCAGCACTCTTAGTGTAAATAACTGGTCAGCGACGTCCCGATCTGAATCCAGCTTGGTTGGAACGCATTTTGCTATCTCGTATTGCCATGAGACTACTTAGTAAAAAGGGAGCGAAAATTTTTTTCGAGATCTAGTAAGCTGTAGGCTTTAAATTGATTCCTCGGTAACTGTCGCAGTACGTCCTGTTAACTTATTTAGGGATTGAAAATAGAATTGCTTTGTTCCAGCCTTCTGATATTATTTCCTTTTGCCATACTAGAGAGCATATTTGTTGAAGGTGAATTAAGAACGATGGTGAACAATATTTGAAGAGTCCAAAGACCATCTTTATTGGCTAATGAATTACAGAGATTCTTTCCTTTTGCTGGAACAAGTTACAACGAAAAATATACCATTCAGGTTCGATTCGCTGGTTCTCCTCAAACAAGAAACGCAAAACATTTTCATCGACTGCAGGAAAAAGAGCTTTAGTAACTGGGCTAAAATTCAAAAATTATAATGTAAAGAAATGTTGACTTATATTTCACAATTGCATGAAGATATGATATTACAAATAACAAAAAAAAATATGGAATTATTACGAACAGAAACAGCAAAAAAAAAAAAAAAAACCTACTTTAGTTGTGTAAAAATATAACGAGGACTAGCACTATCTTTTCCTCCTTGAAGGCGAGTTCCAAACTGACCGATTGGTAATAATAAATTGATATTGTTAGAGCCAACGTAATCCTGAGCAAGATTTACAATTGTCGACATCAGTGACTGCTAAAAAAAATTAAAATTAAAATTTCAAGCGAAAAAAATAAAATTAATAAAATTTAATTAATCTTAAATTTTAAATTTAAGATAAAATCCAAACATTAATAAAATCTAACTTCGCCATGATGATATGCTGACATTTCACCAACAGCACCAGCCAGCTGTGCGACCTTCACTTCCTTTTTATCAGCCCGTTTGAAACAAGTGAACAAAACCTAAAAATTTTTGAAATTTATTTGTTAAATTTGAAATTTATTAAAATTAAGATTTAAAAACCGATTAATCAAATTTACCATTTAATAGTATATGAAAAAAAGTATACTTTGCGTTGACCGGGCTTCAATCCATCAACCAAGCTAGGAATAGAGCGCTCGTTATCTGCATTGGAGAAAAGAACTAATTCCTTGTTAACAAAATCCTTAAATGTTACTGCTCGAGTATCTTTATCATATAAATATTCTTCTGTTAACCCTTGTTCACGACGCTCCTTCCTTTCCTAAAATAAACTAGTGAATTGAATTGAAAACAAAACAAGGCCAAACAAATAATTTGCTAAATTAATACATAGCAAAATTCTATTTTGAAAAAGTATAAATAATATAAATGAAATTGGACCGCCATCCAATTTGTGAGCCAGGCCTTTCGATCTTCGATTTTTTTCTTACTAAATGCCATATCTAAAGATTCATCATCTTCTCGACCACCATAGCGAAAGCGAATTCTATGTCGTACCATATCACTGAAATATTCTTTGGCTTCTTTTGATGTGGAAGTACCCAAACCTGGAAATGAAAAGAAATAATCAATAAACAAAAGAAGTATTTTTTTAACACCACTGAATCAAAGGTACAAAGATCAGTGCAAAAAAACTGAATTGCAAAACTGTAAAAATATATCCAAAAACCAGTAAACATTCGCAAATACATGAGTTTGAAAAAAATGAAGATTGATCATTGAGCCAATTTAATTTATCTACTTAGTTTATGACTTCACGAACAATTGTCCAAAAGGATTTACGATGTGCATTGACAACGCTTTGAATAAGCCGCTAAAATGGATAGCTATTAAATCGAAAAAAATTTTCATTAACAAACCTTTGTAGTATTTAATGCGAAAAGATTTCCAATTTTCAGTATTTTGTCGCCACTCATTGTATTCAGGCAATGAAAAGAAAGCTAACTCGGTAGATCCCTTTGTAGCCTAAAAAAATAAAAAAGAAAAATAAAAATAAAAAAGGAATAAAAAATAAATAAAAAAATAGACTACGACACCATTTTTAACATTACATCTTAAAATAATATATGAAAATATATGTAGCTTACCTTTACAATTGGGGTTATAAACTCTTCCACGAAATTGTGTCGAATTAATGAAGGCCAGTTGTAATGTATGAAATTGATAACTAAACCTTTAATATGCGAACCGTCTTGATCCTGAACGATTTTTTAAAACAAATTTTACGAAAAAAATGGATTTTTTAAGTTTTTTAATTTTAAAACACGAAAAAGAATATGTCCTTTCATCGAAAAAACAACACGTGAAATTAAATTTAAAATCAAACCTGATCGGCCATCACCATAATTTTTCCATAGCGTAATGTTTTCATCTCTTCTTCTTTATCATATTTCAATTTATACTGAAGTCCCACGATTTTTATCAGAGCATTTATCTCCGTATTTTCCATTATCTGCAAATAGTAAATATATAATTACTATAGGAAATGGATTTTTTAGCTAAAAAAGAATAAAGATTTGAAAACTATGGAAGAAATAACAAAATTCAGCGCGAATTACAAAAAATGAACTACAATGGATTTAGCAAAATTTTATTTCGATAAAAAAAGAAATCGTTTTTCGCATAATCCTTGATTAAATCAAAATGAATAGACTTACCTGCTTGTGGTTACCTTCTCGTACATTAAGCATTTTTCCTCGAAGAGGAAATACTCCATAACGATCACGACCTACAACGCCGAGTCCAGAAATAGCTAATGATTTAGCTGAATCTCCTTCAGTTAGAATCAAAGTACAAAGGGATGAATTTCTTGTGCCCGCATCATTTGCATCTTCAAGTTTTGGCACACCCTGAAAAATCAACATCTTTGATTTAACAATAAAGCTTAATATATAAATAAATATATTAGAAATACATTTATATACCTTCAGTTTGCTTGTTTTTTTGCTCGAACACTTTTTATCCAATGTTTCCTGCTGTTTAAATCGAACCCAAGCCATGACTGCTTCAACTATACCACATTTCATGGCAGATGAAACAAATTTCTCAGATAATTCACATTTTGAACCAAAACTTTTCGACTGAAGAGTCATTGTTTCTTTTGTTTGTGAATCAAAAGTTGGATTTTCAATGAGACAATTAACAAATATCCACATGTGATTTTTGACCTAAAATAAAAGTTCATTCAAGTATATTCATTCAAAACAAAATGAATGTCTGAAATAGATTCAACCGAAATGTCTAGCAAATTGAAATTTGAACTTGGAATGGTTTAACATTGATCCCGCTTTTACCAGTCTTTTTTTTAATAATATCGATAAGTTTTGCCGTAACTTGATCAACTATATAATCCACATGGCGACCACCCTAGAAATAAAGAAGAGGAATCCTTTTCCAATAAATACCACAAAATATTAACATTAAAATATTAAAAAAATAGAAAAGTCTTCAAAAATGGCACTAACCTTGATAGTTGCAATACTATTGACAAAAGACATTTGTTGAAAACCCTTTTCAGAAACAGTTAATGCGAACTCCCACCGATCATTAGCTTGTTCATAAACGACCTTGTAAGGTTCTCCTTGATTATCAAAATTATGTTTTGTATATTGCTCAACATATTGTTTAAAGCCTTGAACCTTAAATTACTTATAAACATGATTCTTTAATTCAAACTTGGAAAAATTTCTAACATAAAGGACAAGTTTCAAAAGAATATGTAGAGAAACAGATAAAGATAAAAGATAGGATATAATCGCATTTGCTATTCTCGTGAGCGGTGGTGTCGGTTATTTTCTTCGTCAATAATTCATTATTTTTATTATATTATATTGTACTTCGCTAAACTCTTATTGCATTTGTCTAAAAGATATTCTTTCTAAAAGTATATTGTTATTGTCTAAAAGTATATTGTTATATATTGTTATTATCGTTTTATACTGGGCACTTATAAGATAAAAGGAAATTCCAAATGGCATCGAAAAAAGTAGCAATAAATGGGACCGTTCCCAATAATGATGTTAGCTCTTTAAATAAAACTATCGAGGATCTGAGGTCACAACTAGCTTCCATTACTGAGAAATATGAAAAACAAGATCTAATTATGCATTTAACTAGATCTGTTGAAATACTTACAAAGGTCAACGAAGAACTTAAGAATGATATTAATAATTTGAAGGCTTCGTCTTTGAGCAACTTCGAGCATTCAAAAATTGAAACTGAACAAGTATTGGAAACCACTGAAGAATATTTTGAAAGGAAGGAAAAAGAACCATATATAGTTGGCATAAACATTCCAGAGAAATCTACCGATGATGGATCTGCTATTGCCGATAGGCTTATAGCAGAAAATATTGTAGTTGCCGCTGGGTTCAAAACTGAATTCATTAAGGAGGTTCATCGTCATGGAAGGAAGGGGACAGGCAGGCCACGAGTACTTAAAATTCGTCTAGAAGATAAGGATATGGCCATGTCTGTTTTGCGTAAAAAGATGTGCGCTCGATCGTTCCCTCTGGAAGTTTTTTGCGAAAAGATCTGATGAAAAGAGAATTATTGCTAGATAAACAGCTGCGAAAAAAATGTTATACACGAAATCAAAGTCTCAATCTGAGAAAGTATGCCGTCAGAAATCTTCAAATAGTGGAACTCAGGCAGCCTCGCCAATGGATTGCACCGACGAGCAATTTTTTGATTCCAACATATTCTCAATCTGCAGCAGCCTAGGACAAGTCATCAAGTAAGGTTAATAAAATAGGAGGTAATTTATCTTTATATATCTTTAACGCAAGAAGTTTAAAATATAAACTTTATGACTTAAGGACTTTTACTAATTGATAATCCAAATAGTACTTTCTGTAATCCAAATAGTATTATCAATGAAACGTGGTTGGATGACTCTATTGATAATCGCGAACTAAACTTTGACGGCTTTGTAGTATCACGCAAGGATAGAACAATAAATAATTCAAATCTTCGTGGAGGTGGGCTTATCATGCTTATTCCTGATTATTATAAATTTATAACCTTCGATGATTATGTCTGCTCCTCTTTTGAATCTTTGATAATTAAAATTTATCTTAATAACAGAAATATTTCCCTTTTAAATCTATATCGCCCACCGGGCTATGGAAGCAAATTCACTAGGGACCTTTACAACTTGTTACTCAAATTAAAATTAATTGGTACTGATTATGTAATTGTTGGTGATCTTAATATGCCAAACATAGATTGGGAAAATAGTTTAAAACTCTACCTCTTTTGTTGATAGTGTATTAGAGTCTTGGAACCTTTATGTAATAGTGATCACAATATCATTCATGCTTCATTAAAATTAG